CAACAAATATCTGCAATATAATTTCTTATATACAGATTTATTATCTGAGTATTTGGCCACACCACATTAGAATACAGCCATGTCCACCTGCCCTCATTAGATGTTGTTCAAACCGCTATAAAAGATCTCTTCAACAAAGCAAACATATATGGCAAAACAGACAGCCTTAGGCCAATGTTTTTTGTTTGTAATACTGTTTAATAGGCTAATAAGATTACCTCCATCTCCATTCTGGATAAAGCCTTCACCTCTAGTTATCAGCTCTTGAGATCTTTCCCAATGTGAATTCAGACTTTAACCACTTATTTCATGCATATAAAATTCTAAATAAAATAACCAGATATTTTTATTGGCAGAGGGGTAAACCATACAGATCATCTGGCATGTAAAAAGCAAAAACAGAAAACTCTTTCCCAATAGAGAATTTGTGACAGGGTTCAGTGCCCTTGCACTGAATAGGAATTATTCTTGAAGTAACAGTATATTAAAATAATGCCCACTAAAATTCAGCTACAGACACATTACATGTCATCTCTAAGGGCATTCAACTGAGACCCACAAAGACGGATTCTAGCTTTACAATCCATACAGTAAGTGAAAGTTTCAAGGTTTCATGTGTTCTGAATTGCCACGGCGCTCCTCTGTATAAAAGACACTCTTCAGACAAGCCGTCAGTGGTAATGGCTCACATTAAAGTTTTTTGGCTGACTTTAATATAAATACACAAGGCCAGCAATAACATTCCCATATTTGCACAAGCCCTGAAAATATATATTTTAAACAGTATCCAGAACCACAAAATGTACCAGGTAAATTTCCAGCCTCACTGTACCAGTATGAAAATAGTTCGAATTGGACTGATAAAAGTCATGCAGCCGTAAAAATGGGAAAGTTCGTCCTTCTCAATGCATCACTATTGCCGAGCCAACAAAACAAGTATGTAACCTTACCAGAGTCTAGACAATACAGGACACAGTAATACATGACATCCTAATATTGAATAAGCTGCCCTCTACTGCGTGCTCTCCGAGTCTGAATGAGTCTCACTGTCCTGAACTGCCTCAGCACGTGAAGCTCAAACCAGTGCTGCTCATGCTGTCCGCCCTACTATTGTATAGCTGTAATTTCGCAGAAGCTCAATATGGCCAAAATATACAGTAAGTATTCAGAATAAGTTCATTTTGGTCAAGAGCTACCAAGAACATCAACCTGGAGGAGCCATACCAGAGGAAGCTGAGGGGAGGGAAAGTTCAAGGGCCTGCTAGCTGAAGCTGGAGTGAGGGGTTTCCCAGGATAAGTTGCTATGCATCTCTAAAAGGTGTGTTTTGGTCCTCCTCACTACCTAGTGAAGGAGGGACTCGCCTGAAGATAGATCCAGGAGCAGAAAAAGCCATCAGCTGTAGGTATGTAAATGAAAGCTTCCACTTTGATAGAGCACATATAATAGTTCATATCTTCACCTTACTGCTGCCTTTTCCGTTTGACTGTTGTCCTGTCCTTTTTTGTATTTACAATTAGTAATTTCATGAAAAAAACAACAGGGAAAGCATAAAAGAAAATTGAATCCATGGCATTTCAATTGACTAAACAAAAACCTTTTTTGTACTTTATCTCTTTCGCTGTCAGAGTTTCTGATTCTTCTTAAGCGACTCTTATCGAAAAGGATATCATGCCTGCAAGTGCAGGAGGGAGGAGATCCTTTTCTTTCACACTGAAAGGAATGGCTTGAAAGTTTTCCCTGGAAAAGGGAGTTAAGACATGTCAGTGTGGCACTGCCTGCTGTTAAACCAGGCAAGAAGTGCAGGTGTCTCCTTGGCCTTAGAGCCCTCTAGTTAACCCTCTAGTTCATTTGGGAAGCCAAACAAATCTAGCTATTTGTTTTGTGGTTAGTGATATACAGTACGACTTAAATTAATTAATTAAAAATAGTTGCAGCTTAGTAATAAGACATTAGATTTCTTCACTTATTGCTAAAAAAAAGGGAGATTTTTATTTATACTAGAAATAATTACGGTAGTGGTCTTTCTGCTTGTATAACGTATAAAGATCTATCTTCTTCCATCTGCCCAGATTGGACTTTTCATCCAGTTCACCTCAAATATCCATACTCACCCACACATTTTCTAACCACTTTGTCCAATCGAAGATCGCTGAGGAGCCAGAGCCTATCCCAGCAAGCAACGGGCACGAGACAGGAAACACCCTGGACAGAATGCCAGGCCATTGCTGGACACACACACTCACACCAGGGCCAGTTCTTCCAGAACCTGCCAGTACTGTTTGTTTTCACACTGCCCTCGAATTGGTAGTTCTTAATCTTCTCTGCTTCTTTCCATACCCTTGACACCAGCACAAGATATGAAAATGCAAAGCACTCACAGATTTATATGAGACAGATGCAAGTGACAGGGTCAATACTAACACTGAAAAAGTGCTATTGTCTAGAAAGTCAAGAAAACCCTGTCTTATTACAAACCATCTCAACCAAGGAAAAGCCAATTTGCTGCAGTAACACGGGGAACCCTGTCTTACTACCTCAAAATGAAATCAGCAGTTCTGGGACTGCATGCCAAATGGGTAGATCCATTTCAGGAACCCCATTGGCTAGTTTCTCAGCCCAGTCCAGATGTATCTGAAAAACATTTTTAAACTGCTCTTTTTAACAATTTTTACATAAAACGTGTACTATCCGTGGTGTCACTCAAAAATTTAAGGCAGACAAAAATAAGTTGACTCACTTTTCGAAATCTCAGAAGCTGACCGCCATCAAGCTTCTTTCAATTGAGCATAATTCTTTGATTGCCATTGCTCCGGGGCAGTCAGAAATGCACTGGGGGGTCTTATTTGTTTCTTTTTAGTCCAAAGTGAGCAAACCTGAAGCACAAGGAGCTTAAGTGCTGTATCTGGCTCGGGACTGAAGTGCATTACTGCCAGATTTTCAGGTTGCATAACAGGAAAGTTATCCTGACTCCAAGTCCACCAGCTGAAGCACTTAATGTCTGTTTATTCTGTAATGCCTCTGCCATTTACTATTTACTCTGGCTTAACACAGAATTAATACATGTCTTCTCCTCTCCTCTGTCTTATCACATTAAATCTGATTTAAACCTGATTCAGAAATGAAAACTTTTTTTTTTTTGCTCTCACATGTACCACAGCTGCTTGTAGGTGCTCACCGAAATGTATTCTGCATTTCTGGAAGTACTATACACTTGTTTCATCTTGCAGACACACAGTCCTTTTTTTTGCCCTTGAAGTATCTTAGCTGGTTAATATATCCCAGAGGATCTCCTGGGACAGAAGCACTTGCTGGACCACGACATGTAAAATAAATGAGTTGAGGAATTTTACCAGAGTCAACAGCAATCCCCAGCTAGTTGCTACTGAATTTATAAAACTAACAGCTTTTTCTTCATGTCTATATGAAAGCTGATACTTTTTGCAATAAACCCTGACTGTTAGACCATGAAACTAGAACAGAGCCCTGTCTGTAGCCCTAGAACCCAGTGTACACAACTCTCAAGCCGTAAATTACACAAAGCTAAACTTGTTTATAAATCTACCTTCAAGATGGAATGTGCAGTATTTGCTCAGCTTGGCAATGACACCTCAGTTCATGGGCTGAAAATTGACTGGCCCTCCTTTATCATCTTAGCCCAACCCACTGAAATTCTTTTTACAAGCTACCTACCTATGAAGAAACCTCCTGTTAGGAGGAATATGGAAAACAGCATTTTTTTTTTTTACTGGGTATGAAATCTAATATGTGCCTCAAAATAAGGAAGTTTATTTTCCATCTTGGCATAGAACCCTACCTTCCCTGAATCACATACAATATTGCTGCCAGACTGGTCAATATGTAACAGAAGCAGCTTCTCTTATAGGGGGTGGAGTTGGGGGTGGAATAGGGTACCTGCATCGTCTTTCACAGGTTCTCAGCAATAAAACGTATATAGACTGAAACGTTTTTTTAAAAATAAACACAGTGCTGATACTAGATTTACTGCTTCGGTTACTTTGCACTTATACTTTGATAAGCAATCAAACAAAGACTAGCAATATGGTCAACATCTTCATGGTACTGGACTGAATACTGCAATCAAATGGTAAATATTCTATGTATGAAGCGATATTAAAAATGAGACGTGTTTTATTATCTGTCTGTATACGAGAGTATAAGTACATATAAAGCTCAACTGTCTAGCAACTCGACCGTTGTTGAACAGATACTGAAGTTAAATATCATGGGATTCAAGACTTCTTGGTTCAATAAAGAAAATACAAAATTGTATTACTTGGGTTCAACACTAGGGGGCACTGAAAATATCTACAACTCAAGTCTGGAGTTTTTATACCGTATGCTTCCACACAGCAATGTTGCATACTGCAAGCAGGGTATTCTATTTTAATTGAAGTAAATATAAATGTGAGCCATTGAGATTTTTTTTCCTGAAATAAAGCTAGTTGCTTTGCTTGTCCACTGTAATTTTAATCAGATTTTTAAAAGCCCTACGCACTCAGCACCAGAGTGATACCAGTTACCTTTTTTTAACAGAATCAAGCAACTCACAGGCAAAAACATACCAGCAAGCGAGTGGAATTCAATACTAATAAAATGAGATATAAACGTCAACACGACAAGGGAAGTTCGTAGAGGCACCATTCAGTGGTCGCCAGTGTGGCTGAAGACCTTTTATTTCACACTAACATCCATGATCACTTTTCAGTTATCTAGTTATATTTCAGTTGCATCTGTGCATAGCATTATCAAGAACAGCGTGAGAGAGGTTAGAATACATAAAACAAAAGGTCATACAACTGGCAGATGATAATCACAACATCACCTATTTCATTTTAAATGTAATCAGCATTACTGCATTCTTTGGTTTACTTCTTTATTACTTATTTACAGTACCAATGCACCTGCTACTGCAGTGAGCTGTGAACGAATTACCAGCCCTTAAAAAAAATGTACAACTTTAACTGCTGCACTAGCTTACCTTAGCTGTTGAGTCACTGCCGGAGCTCACAGATGTCATATTGCTGCTTTAAAGTACCCGACAGGAGAGGGAATGAATGATTGATCCGTTTAATCAGTTTGCTTCCCGGCGCAGCAACAACAGCACAACACGCTTCACCTAGGCAGCCGATCCTGCTTGGTACACCGAAAGTTTACTTTGCATTTGAAATTAAAAAAAACTAAATACAAAACAATAATTAGAAATAGATTTTTGTTAAGTGTAGCTGTCATTTCTAACGTAGAAAAATAATAGTTTTGTTCGTATTGTTGATTTTGTTTTCTTTTTCCTCAACTTAAATACACGATGATAGGACCTGACGTCGTGTTACCAGCTCTGCTGTGCGTGACGTGCCTCAGTCTCCCCACGTGTTTGTCATGGCAGAAGCTATGGTACAGTGCTGATTTGAACGACTGTAAAGTTTAGAAAATTTGTTTCGTTTCACAGACGCCATGGGGAAGTTAAACGTTGTAATTCTAAGGTACCTATCGAGGGATGATTTCCGGGTCCTTACTGCAGTAAGTACGGCTTAATGTCACTCGTTTCGTCATTGTTAGCACTGCTTTTGTGCAGTACTATAACTACATGTAACTGTAGTGCACGGCCTACTCGTTAAATAGTTTAGGATTTGTGTTGTACTTCAGTCCTCTGAACGTGATTTTTTTTTTTGCCGTTTTATTATGAAATGGTCAAATTCAAGGTTTAACATCCATGACCTGGTAAAAAAATGGCATTTACTTTGGCTGATCTTGGATAATATTAGGAGCCGTGTTGTCATTTTAATTGTATTTTCACAGGTGGAAATGGGCATGAAGAATCACGAAATAGTTCCTGTTAGTCTGATTGCATCCATTGCCTGTCTGAGACATGGAGGATGCAATAAGATCTTAAGAGAACTCGTCAAGCACAAGCTGGTTGTTTACGAACGCACCAAAAGTAAGCACTAATCTTCCCTTCCCCCAATAACGTGTCTGTTATGCGAAATGAGCTTTTCCTTTTTGTTTATGCAAAATGTTATGTTTCTGTGCTGTTGGTTGATCAGCTGCTTACGTTGTTTCGGTTTCAGCTGTGCAAGGATACCGTTTGAACTATGGTGGATATGATTACCTGGCCTTAAAAACTCTGTCCGCCAGAGAAACACTCACCTCTGTTGGGAACCAAATGGGAGTTGGCAAGGAATCAGGTAGGGATATGACTGATATTAGGGGTAAATGTATACGAGGCTAGAACAATATGTGCATATTCAATAAACTCTTTTTTTAAAATAAGATGCAGAGTTGTTATATGTAGGGTGGCTCTGTGGTGCAGGGTTAGCATTGTTGCCTTACAGTGTTTGGGCCCTGGGTTCAATTGTGGACCTGGGGTGCTATCTGTGAGGAGTTTATATGTTCTCCCTGTGTTCGTATTGGGTGCTCTGATTTCTTCCCCCAGCCCAAAGACATACTGGTAGGTTAACTGACTTCTGGGAAATTCGGCCCTGGTGTGAGTGTATGTTTGTCTGTGTGTACCCTGCGATGGAATGGTGTCCTGTCCAGGGTGTATCTCACCATGCAACTGTTGCTTGCTGTGACAGGCTCCGGCTCCCCCTCAACCCTGAATTGGATGAAACTGTAAAGAAAATGGATGGCTGGAAGTGTATTTAGTCTCACTTTAAAATATAATCATTTATATATAAAAATGATGGTATATATAAAATACCCATCATTTTTTAGTCATAAACTTTGTACACAAATAACATTAAAATTGTTTGTATTATTGTTGTGAATCTGTAATCTGTGTTGACTCTTCTCCAGCTGAAAGAGAGAAACAAACTTAATAAAGTTTCTCTGCACCAGAGTAAGTGAGCTGCATGTCCAAATGCCACATTTGCAAATGAGCAAATAATTCTTATATGAAGTACGTAAAACATAAATGATTAATTTTTGACAGTGCTGAAAAAAACATTAGAAACAGGGACTTGGGTTTAAAGTTTTTGTAAATTTGAATGTGCTGTAATGAAATAATACATTTCATTTTGTAAATAAAGTTCCCTTTGACTTTAAGAGCTCAGGGATCCGAAATTGATTAACATTGGAAACGTTGTATGTCAATTTCCGATAGATCAGAATCTAGTACTTCACCATTTGTTGCTTATAAAATAGTGTGCCAGATTCGGACACCAGTACATTTAAATCTAGTAGCACTCACAGAGTCGCATTTTTGACACCACTATTTTGCCTCCAATTTATTGTTTTCTCTCAGATATCTACATTGTTGCAAACTCTGAAGAGGAACAGTTTGCTCTGAAACTCCATAGATTGGGCCGAACTTCATTCCGGAACCTGAAGAACAAGCGAGATTACCACAAACACAGGCACAAGATGTCCTGGCTTTATCTTTCCCGACTTTCTGCAATGAAGGAATTTGCATACATGAAGGTATGTAATGAAATAAAAAAAAATGTATAAAGCATTTTTTAATAGATTATCCTGTTTTGTACCAATTGGACAATTTGAATATTTTTGTGACCATATGTAAATCTAGTTCATTAGTCAAATACCTGTGTTCTTTATTATTTCAGTGTTAATATAATATTTATATAATTTTTGGTTTTTAAAATAAGAAAATAAGTGAACCTAATACAGTGATACTCAAATGTAATGAGTGACCTTATGGACTAAAATTTATCATACCTCCATCTGGTAAATGTGCCTCTTTATTTTTTTTTATATATAATCTGATAGAATACATAAGGTTACTAAAGTGTGGATACAAGTGTTTCTGGAACAACATTCTGTGTAAATAGAGTAATATTATAAACACAAGAAGTGTAATATACTAATCAACAGATGAAATATGACATTTATAACTGTAATTTTCCTGATAACATTGTGAATATATTGCAATCTCCATTTGGGTGGTGTGTTATGTCTGGCGCAAGTCCAACATATTCTGGTCAATTTAGACCAGAAAGATCATTGTTTATATAATCTGAGCATGAAAGCATCTTACGCATGTCTGCGATATATAATTTACAAAGTTTAAGATGAGTCTATTTCAGTAAAGGCTTCATTCATGCCACTCACCCATATAGGCCATGGTTGTCTGGGAACCAGGATATTGTTGATGTATGAGTTCCATTTCAGACATCACATTTTGTACATTTTTCAAAGTCACTGTATGTTTCACATTGGAATTCCTGCCTTACTGGCTGCTTGGTTTGGAAGGGCGGCCTGATCTAAGTGGTATGATGAGTGTTCCACTTTCTACCGATGAATGTCACATTTCCCAAAGTGATAAGTAACCTTTCAACCTGTTCCTGTCTGCCACTTAATCCCTTATTTATTTTGAAAGCTACTACGTTTTCATGGTCAGTTTGTTGTATTGCTACAAGTTATGGCTTGAAATCCAAGATCTGTCTGGGCGAATTTAAAGCATTTGCTTGAAAGTCAAGTTACGCCATTTTGATTGCACATGGAGATGGAGACCGTTACATTTTTGTGACCTTTCAAGACTGTTCTTTTGCACCTTAACTGTTTTATAGTTTGCATAGCAAAGGAGCTGAGTCCTTAATATTATAATTAAAATAATTATTATCTTAATATAGTTAATAAATACTTAAATTCTATTTGCTAGCTTGACAACAGAAAGATGCAGACTTGTAGGGATTGTAAATTACCTTTGTCTGTGTGTCAATAATACAAATTTGGTCATCATGCCAGCCTTAGTTATGGCAGTGGCAGTGTTCAGGATTTCATGCACAATCCTTTTACATTTTGGGGTCTGTTTCAGGCTTTGTATGACAGAGGATTTCCAGTCCCCAAACCAGTGGATTACAATAGACATGCTGTTGTGATGGAGCTCATTAATGGATACCCTTTGTAAGTATTAGGTGTTATTTGCTTACTCTAATCCTTTGCTTTAAAATATTAAGTATTGGAAGTTGTTTATTGGATTGTGTCTTTATTGTACCTTATGAGTGGTTAAGAACATAAAGATGTTTCTAAAAAGGAGGCCATCTGGCCAAGAATCAGCTTCAACAATTTAACTGGGAAGATTGATTCAGACTCAAAACCCTTTGTGTGCTTCGGTACCTCCTATTCTCACCTTTAAATGCATTTCCACTGTATCCTCTGGTTCATGTTTCACTCTAGATTCTGAAGTCCACTGGGTAGATTTTGTCAGTGCCTTAGAGAATTTTGACTCAGACACCCTTTGTATGGACTACAAACATTCAGTTATTTTAGTCTGATACAGTAGGGGATTCATTTAAGCCAGCAAATGTATCTACTGTAGATGCTCTTCTTTGGACTGATTCCAGACAGCAGTATCTTTTTTTGTCTGTATGGTGACAAGAGTTGTATATGTTTTCTTACCAGCACACTGTACATTTCCTAACAATCTATTTGCCTTTTTATTGCTTTCCCACATTGCCTAAAAGATTAAGAAAAACATAAACATCCAAGTGACTTCTCTAAACTTATTGTTTTCCCATCCCAAATTTAGAAAGTTTGTTTCTGCTACCTGCATGTCCACATTAAATCATCTAGTCATGGTTGAGTCTAAACCTTTAAATTTCCTCTGCTTCTATTGTATATGCTAATCCTTCTGGAAAAACCTGCATATATAACTAGCTTGAAAATCATACCAGAATCTAGATTGCTGATAGAAATTAGGGTGAGCAGTGGTACAGTACAGATCACTGTGGTACTACACTAATTCTTCGTGATTTGAATATTTCCCCCTTCTCTGTACTTTGTTTTCTTTGAATCTTAAGGTATTCATTATCTTGGGTGACTAACACCTCAAATACGAGTATGAATCTTTTATAAGGAACTTACTCATTTTTCAAATATTTTTTCTTCCTGTTTCTATCAGTTTGTATCCTTTGCTGCTGTTGCTCGTTCAACCAACTTTAAGACCTAGCTTTTGTAAATCCTTGATGACTTTCCACTAGAACCCTTTTCTTATTCAGACCAATAATTTTCTTATTCTAGTTTAGTTCTGATTATCATTCCAGTAACCTTATGTGTATTAAGAGTAATACTTATCTGTAATTGCATGGTTTTGTTATGGATGGAATTTTCCAGTCGGTGAGTATTATACTTGTGCCTGAGTTGACCTGAGATTAAATCACTCTTCCTGAATGGGATGCTTTTTCTTTGCATCTTAACTCCCACCCAAAACTGCTGCAATTTGTACTTCACAGTTGACTGGATAAATCAGTCTTTGCTTAGCTTAAGGACTGGTTAACCCATTATCTTCTGATAAGAAGCCCAGAGCCTTAACCACTATTTTAATAACTTTGCTTTTAAAAAGCTAGGTGAAGGTTAATTTTAGATTAGTAAACAGTTGTTTAGTAGGTCCAACCATCCTGACTGTTTCATAATTATGTTTAGAATACAAATTTCATGAGTACTTTGGGTGTAACATTGTATTTGTTTTTTGTAAAAACCTTGTACAGCACTTGTTTTTTTCTTTTGTAATTCCCAGTCCCAGAATAGAACCTTCAGTAATTCTGACACAGAAAAACTTTTCAGTGTCTATCAGCAATACCTTTGTCATCTCTGCCTCTGACATACGAGTAGAATGTCACCCTAATCCCGGTCCTTAAAAGTTCAATTGATAATTAGCAGGTAGACATAATAAGTAAGGTGTTGTTTGCTGTAATGTATTTCACTTGAACAGAATGAATTGCGAGAGATTAATTTTGAGTGGCCCTGTTGTAATATACTTGGATCTAGTAATCTAATAAATCTAGATTTACAAGAATCCAGTATATAGTTAATGTCGTACTGAATTGAGTCTTAAGCTGCAAGAAATGTCCTGTTCCTGTTTAAAAAAGAATCAGTTTTTGAAAGTTCTAACAGGAGGTAACAAAGACAAAAGCCTGCACCGTGATTTGGTTTGGTTCAATTACCGCTGTGAGAAAAACTCTTTATATTTTTTTATCTTTGTGGTTTATCTCCAGAGACTTTATTGTCTCAGATGAAAAGTACTTGGTGGGAGGGTCACATGCGCTTATTATTTCCAAAAAATCTTATTCGATAGCATCTAAAACTCTATTTTGTACATGGGAAGACATTAAGTTGTCATTAAAACTTCAATGAGAAAAACACAGTGCTTTGTTTGTACAGCTGAAAGTGGAAGACAGTTTCAGGGCTGAAATGAAGTAAACTGTGACCTTCTCTTAACAGCCTGCCTGTACTTTAGAAGGCACTAGGTAGACCTGTGCCTGTGGGACATGGTTATTTTTCTGAAAATGGCTAAAAAGGCATGGTTTCAATTTTGGGGGGAAATTGGAAACAACAGTATGCAAAATGGGAGTAACAGTCATTTCTAATTTTCATAGCAATTGCAAGGTGGAGTAGCAGCTGTTTCTGTTTCACTGTGCTCTAGTGGGGTCAGCTGTTAATAGAGATTTGGACAATTAAAAATGGATTAAATTGAAGCAGCCAAAACACACCCTTTGAGTGATGGATAATTTACAGCTTTTTTAGAGCTTTTCCAGAAGTATTTTACCAAAAACCTCAGGCAGGATTTGGTATTTTCATTAAAACAATCTAGTTAACTGTATTCAGTATTTTGTAAAGGGGTATTCTTGAAAAAACGATTTGGATGGGATGTCAATTTTACAATTTTCTTTTAAACTGAGGGTATAAAAATAATTCAAAATGCCAGGCAATAACAGCTTACTATACTTGTTTTCTTATGGCTTCTGACGTGGGTATGTAGGATTGCACAGTAACGTCTTAATGCATTTACATAATCACCTGTTAAAGAAACAGCATTACACTTTGACATATTTTGTGTTGGTATCCAAATATATATAGGTGATCTTACAAATAATGTAAAATAAATAAACTGCAGTTTATATTTTAATTATTTTAAGAAACTTTGAATATCTGGAATAGGACACTTTGCTAATACATTTTAGCATTAACATCTACCAGTTGATGTAAATGGTCCTTTGACATGATGAAATGACATAATGACTGAAATTACTTTTTTAAGATGCCAGGTGCGCCGTGTGGAAGATTCAGCTGGATTATATAGTGAAATAATGGACCTGATTGTGAAACTCGCAAATCATGGCTTGATTCACGGAGATTTCAATGAGTTCAACCTCATGCTGGATGACAAAGATCATGTCACGATGATCGATTTCCCACAGATGGTGTCTACCTCCCATCAGAACGCAGAATGGTAATTTTTTCAATAAGCTTATCTGACATTTAAGGAAAGCCAGTATCTAAAAAATTAGAATTTCCATACAATAACTTCTTCTACATAAGAAGGTTTGCAAATGACAGAAGAACTTTTGGCCCTTGCTTGTTTTGTTTTTAGGAGCTGAGTGATTGAAGGAGTTTGTTCAGCCATTTTAGCTTTGACAGCATGGCTGTGTAGCTCATTTCAGATCTGTTGATTGAAGAGGAACAATATACTAGAGTCCAGTAACTGAGTGGTACAGTTTCCATTTTGAAGTGATCCCCCATCCCCAAGTGGTCCAAGATTTCTTACTGTTTTCTGTTTCATTCTTTTAGGTATTTCAACCGAGATGTCAAATGCATTCGTGATTTCTTCGCAAAACGTTTTGGCTATGAAAGTGAGCTTTATCCGACTTTTAAAGATATCAGGTAATGTTAATGTATAAAATTTGGGAGAACCCACTGGAACCCAGAGATGTTCTTTTACATTTTTCTTCATGCCATTTGTTTTCTAAAATGCTCAAAAAGAAAAAGACATAAGAGTCACACCTGAAAAATGCATTTAGTGTTTTTGCTGTTTATAAAGTGCACTATGTCAGTGCAATTTAATTAAAAGGTTAAGCAGAACCACCTGGGCTAAGGTGTGTTGGAAAAACAGTACTTTATCTGCTGTGGCAATTAAAGATATTGCTCAGTCAGGTTGAGAAAAGTGCATAGACGTTCTTGGTACCTTTAACACCACTTAGCAATGTTTTTGTGTTTGTTCACCTTTGTTCCAAATATGCACCATATAGTTAGGTTACAGGCTTCTATTACCATTCACACCAAAACTGGAATGCAGAGTGTGGCTGGTCTAACTAAGTATGTCACCATTTCAAGTATTTGACACTAATGCAGATAGTGTGCAGTTGAAGTCCAGTGGGTTTTACTAGCCTATTCCATTTTTTTCCATTTTGAATGTACTGATTACTAAGTCTGAAACAAAACTAAGAGTTGCAATATTGTAGTTCACATTGTAGTGTAAATGTGGTACAAAATGTAAAAGAGTACCTGCTTTTGTGTCATGCAACTAACACAGTAGGTGATCTTACAAATAATGTCAAATAAATAAACGTTATTCTCTCTTAACAAAATGCTGCTTTTCTACTTTAAATTTGGAGCATCCAAATAATCTAGGTACTGAACTTTTATGTTCTTGAAAATGCAACTGGTACTGTGTGCTTATTTATTAGAATTGGTACAATCTGCTGTCAAAAACACTGAAGGTCCTAGTTTTCTTTGGGGATAATAGGGGTTACTTTTGTGTTTGGGTCCAGGAGAGAGGACTGTCTGGATGTGGAGATTTCTGCAAGTGGATACACCAAAGACATGCAGCTGGACGACGAGCTTCTCCACCCAACTGGACCTGAGGAAGAGGATGATTCCACTTCCGCGGGCGAACAGCAGCCTTCAGCCCGGGATTCAGGCCGGGAGGCCTCAGAGCACAGTGGGGACACAGAAGTGCCGTCTTCACATAAAGCTGACGAGGCAGAAGTGCTGGAAGATTTGAATCCAAAATCTGAAGCATCTGTGCATATGAATGAATTCCAACAGGCACTCCTGGAACTGGAGGGCCTGTCAGTCAGTGGGAGCAGTAAGACGGGCTTTGAACACAGCGCCTTTCAGACGGACAGCAGGCTTGAAAAATCCCAGCAATCTGGAGATGATGAGACAACTGCAGATAAAGAAAGTGAGGAGGACGAGAATGAAGATGAATGTCCTGATTTAGTTGACCTTTCAGCAGCTAATAAAGAATACCGGCCTTTCAGGTACATAAATGTGTTTTGACATTTGTTAGGGAGATATAATAATGTACATACTTCACCTGGAGGGGACAGTGATGGTTCACAAAATTAATTTGTTGCCAGAAAAACAAAAATGTTTCCGCTAGCAGGTCTTAGTAAATGGATTTACCACATTTTATTGTGAAAGATCTTCAGTCATGCAGAAACCTTCACATGCCTTTATGCTGTAACCCTCATCTAACCAAAAAATATTTTTTGTGTAGTAATGAAAAAACAATATCCTGAAGAGCAGATTTGTTCTTTATGAGGTTCTGTCAGAGTGCTTGTTAATGCTGTATGTGTGATACTGTAAGCAAAGGTTACATGATCCTCATAGAGTGTTTAAGAGTACTTTATTGCTCAAGTAGAATGTTAAGAGGCTCTTGTGAAGTGAAATCTCACAGTCTGACTGAATAATTTCTGCCTTTCTAACAGAAATGAGGAGAGCATGCTTCACATTAATGAGCACAGACGAAGAACAACCAGCATGACATCAGTGGGCAGCCTGGCAAGTTGTTCAACAATACCATCAGTAAGTACAAACTGTGGGGCTCAGCTCTAAACATCACAATGTTCCACTCCTTCTTGTACTATTTTTTTCTCCCTGTCAAACATGTATAAAAAGCAGTATATTTGAAAGCGGCACGGTGTTACAGCGCTTGCAGCCTTGCAGCGCTGGATCCCTGGGTTTGATTCTTGATCTGGGCTACTGTCTGCATGGAGTTTGTACAGTATGTTCTCCTGTGTTGGGTTTCCTCCAAGTGCTCAGGTTTCCTTCACAGTCCAAAAAGCTACTAGTGGATTAAATGAATTCTGGATAAATTGGCCCTAGGCGTGAGTGTATGCGTGTCTTTGTCTGTCAACAAAGGACTGGTGACCTGCCCGTTGGCTCCCCCTTTACCAAAATATGTTAAAGCTGTCAGGAAATGGATGGATGGGATATATTTGAACTAAGCTTCTGAAATGGAAAAAATTGCCCATTTTGGGAGAACATTAAATTTGTAAACATTAAGGGAAAAAAAATGGATTCAAAGTGACTTGTATTTTCCACATAAATAAGAGATATTTGTTTAATTTTCCACCTTATTTATAAAGAACAAAGTATCAGAAGTAATGAGTAGCAGATCATTTTAAGTAAGCATGATGATGATCTCGTTAGTGGTTTTTCAACAGTTTTGGAATGTCTCTTATTTTATTTTAAGACAAAAGGGAATGGTTCTCAAAAATGTTATCGTTTACTTCAGATCTCAAAGCCAAAGGCTAATTCAAATGCTGTCTACTTGGAAAAGTATGTTGTATATAGAAACTGGAGCAATTTTAAATTTTGTGCTTGTATCGGTTTTAATGAGATTACAATACACTGAATGTTTGATTATACTCCAAATATAAACTCGCGTGAAAGAAATTGAAATTCTAAACAGAACTAGACTGCCACCATGTGGCAAATAAATTACATAGCATTGATTAGGACAAAAATATTTTCTGTTTGGTATTATGGCTTATATTACTCATTGCAAAATGTTTATTTTTAAAAGCCAAGTTATGCATTAATTTTTAATGTTTAGTGCTTTCACCAAGTGAAATATTAATATCCTTTTGTTTTTAGCCCTGCCTTTAACTATTCAGATTTTGGCTAAAGTATTTAAAAAATATATTTTTAGATCCATAAAGTCCATTCTAATTCCACAGTGAATAGAACATTTTCTTCTTTATTTCAAAGGCATCTAATTTTGTCATTTCTGTGGGTATTTTTGTAATTATGAGCAGTCAGTCTTTGAACTTTTGTACATGATTTTCTGAAATCACATTTTGTATTAGATTTGAGATAGCTTTCCACTTAGCCATACACCCTTGTCATCTGCATTGTCACAGTCCTAATAGGTCTCCCCAATATGCTTTTTGCCAAACACACATTAGTAACACAATCACAGTGGTGCTTTTTAATGTGTAAAAGGTCAATGCTAGAACTGCCAGGTTGGGATATTAAATGAAAAGTCTAATGCATTCTGCACCAGCGGGCCATTAATACAGCAGAAAGTAAAGGCAAAATCAATTGCTCTGGATGCAATCCATCATTACATCCTAGGATCTGATCATCGCATGTGCACCCTGAGGAGCTAGCGCAGCTGGAAAATAAAAGGTCTATGGTCTTTTCACATGGTTGCTTGGTTTCGGGTTGCACGTGTTCCTGAAAGGGAGTAAATGTGGTCTTGAGAACAGGAGGTTGATGGTATTAGCTAGTATTGCCCACCTCAGTGGTATAAGATTTCCAGCATTATGCCTCAGTGCTTTGCCGTCTCAGACAGGTTTATTCTTGAGTATTGTGCTGAAGGGCATTCATATTGGGCATTTCATTTTCATACTCAACCTAATAACCTAGTAAATAAGCAACTCATGTTACATTTATTGATTTCCATGAAGCATCCAAGTATGTCTTTTAGACAGACGTTCTTCAGACGAAGATTACTTCTAAACCGTAGGTGCCAATGCTGGGTCAACTCAGCTGAGATGTTTAAAACGGTTGCAGTCTCTGTGGGTGATGCAATTTTTATTGTAATATTAGTTAAGGGGTATACATGTTCATTAAGTAAACCAGTTTGTTCATGGGTAGAAAAGCAGTGTCCCATGTGGATTTTGAACTCATATCCTGTTGGTCTGATGGCTGGAGCCTAAACCAGAATTCCACCCTGCTCATTTGTTCCCTACTTCGCCCCATTGTCAGTGTAGTTTGAATTTTTATGAAGGTCACCTCAAGCTCCATATAAACTCCGAAAAAATTATTTACTATATATATGTTATGGACCATTCAGTGTGACAGAATCCTTAATGCCATTGCAGAAGACCAGGGTATAGCAATTCACATTTGCTTTATGAAAATGTACCCACTCCACTTTTCCTTTACAGGGAATCCAAATGCTCACTGAATTTGGTCCTTCTTTTTATAGGAGCTGGTGAAGCAGAAGGTGAAACAGCAGCTCTCGAAGCAACAGAAAGCAGCACAGCGAAGGCGTTTGCAGAAGGGAGAAGCCAGTGTGTACACAAAGGAGAGACGGGAGAATGTGCAAAATATTAAATGGAGTCTGGATGCTGCTTCCTTCTGGGGATGAACTACATCCTGAAAGATTTGTAGTATAATCAGATTTCTCCCCACCTTGGAAGTTGGGAAGAAATATTATTAATGTTATGGTCATTTTGAGGTTCCAATCTATTCAAATCATGTCTAATAAATAAGTTTGTTTACTTATTTAACCTGACTGAATTTGTTTGTAAATGTTTTAGTCTGCTTTCAAGGGATACTAAACAAGGGTCAGATTGTCACCGTGTACTTCCATCATTAGTATATAACTAAGATTACAAACATGCTGTTTGGCCCATTTTGCTTATTACGTTTGCTAGTAGTCCAAGGATGTCATTCAGGGAGCTGTGAAACTGTTGCAACAGTGTGGTTAAATAGCATATTCTAGGCACAGATAGATTTGTGTGTAAAATAATACTGATTGCTCTCAGTCCTAAAATTACATCTTTTTACTTTACACTTGTCTCAGGGCACTTGTTTAAGAATTGATCCTGAATATTCAGAAATGCCTCTGTCATACTTTTAAATTTTAAGTATTCACATGCCCTCATTCAGAACGAAATAAATTAAGTTCTTTCAGGCCAGTAATTATCATTGTTGCTTTTCTTTGGACAGGTTCCAAAGCAATGGCATTTTTATCAAGTGATGACCAAATGTTTACCTTATATTCTAAATGATTTCATTTCTTTGTCTTTTATAGCTTTTTTCAATGTATTTGTATTGTACAGATCTTAAAATATCCTCATATTCTCTATATACAGTCAGTATTACTTAATTCAGAAGAGTGTTTATAATGTAAAAGGGGATGTATGCACACATGTAATACTCAGTATTTGTATGCTTTTATAAAGCATAAATCGGAATGTATTGTCAAAAGAATTTCACAATTACAATTACATAATTCACCTACAGTAGATTTTATGTCGTAATAGTTATACAGCTATTTAAATATAATTTTAAAACATTTCTCTGCAGGGGATGAATTGTTATTTTTAGTGACATACCCTTCAGTTTGTTAGGTTTGCCTTTTTAGGCTTCAGAATTTGAGTTGTGTACTTTTACCAGTCATGTAATTTAACATGAAACTGAGAAAACTTCATCTGACAGAGATTACAAGTAGCTGGATTATGTTCATTTTTCCAAATTAAAGAACCCATTTCCAAGGGCCTTTTAAAGGCTGTGTTTGAAAGGCGTTGCAGACTCCCAAGTCTGGCATCTCTCATGGGAGATGTGGAAGGGGCCACTGGGAAGGGGCAGCACTGGGGCCCTGGGTTCAATTCTGGACTCGGACTTGTTATCTGCATGCAATTTGTACGTGTTCATGTGTCGTCGCCCCCCCCTCCCCAGTCCAAAACCGAACTGGTATGTTAATTGGCTTCTTGGAAAATTGGTCCAGGACCAAGTGTGTGTGTGTTTGTGTCTGTGCCTGTATCTGTGTGACTGGCCTCTCGTCCAGGGATGGGTGCCCGTTGCTTTCCAGAATAGGATTTAGCTCCCCTGCAAACCAGAATTAGAAGAAGCAGTTAGAAAATGAATGGATGACCACTGAGAAGAGAACTAAAAGACAGGTGCGTGCTAACAACAGGCTGTGTGGTACATGCAGTGACTTTGTCTGGATCTGTCCATTGGTTTGTATGTTCTTAATATTTGTGCTACCCTTTTCTGTTACAACTGACCACCACAGTATATCAAAACTAAGAATTGTTCTTGACCTGCTTTTTTGTACTTTTCTATATGTTTTCTAGTCCTTTTAACTTCAAACACAAGTAACATTTTGGATGGTTTGGTTTGTCTGTTTGTTTGATCTTTGTCAGACAACTATTGTCTGAATGTTTTTTGTAATCCTCTTTATAAGTGTTTGCTTTATGGAAGTAGTAATTCATTTTGAATTTTAGTGGTGTTTTGATTTTAAGCTGTGTATCCCAAAGTACATTAATGCCATGAAGTTCAACTTCAATACACGAACCATACGAGTTGGAGGGTATGTTTCTCCAAAGCACCAAACAGAAACAAAACTGTAGAAAGCATGACATTTTTTCCTAACAGTCATTTCAAATATGTGATATAAACTCCTGCTGAAATGAACATGAATGTTGTTTCATTAAAACATATTTACAAAGTCATCGAATCAGAAGGAGAACACTAAATTTGTAGTTTTCCTAGGTAATGAGACCTAACTACAGTTATTCTTAAGGGTCTCAAATTTGTCTGCATTCACTTGAATTCGGTATTACAAGGGCAACAATACAGGGAACAATCAGCTTGACTAGATTTTGAACAACTCTCCAGCAGAAGGTGAAACCAAGAACTTTTTTCTTCTTCATCTCTTTAGGTGAGGAGTGCCACCTATCAGTCCCCAGCTTATGCACAATTGGTTCATTATCAGTCTTGTATCCAGAATTCTCTCCACCAATTTTGCTATCTGACCCATGAAGCCCATATAGTCGGCAGCAGGCCTACAGCTGCGCATCATGTCATGAAGGGTCATACTACAGGTTAACACTGAGACCAAGTTGGTTGTGTCCGGTTTACATTTCAGCTCCAGGAGTTTTAAACAAAAGGCACTTTATGCAGGAAGTTCTAAGGTTATGTCAACACTTTCCTGCTCAATCTTGATAAATAGTCCTTTATTTAATGGATGAGATGAGTGACTTTATTTTTAAGGTAGAAGGAAGACCAAGGGAATTGAGAGTAGAACTGTTTAAAGATGTGTTTTAAGAAGTAACAAAAAACAAGAGAAGACCTGTTCTGATTTTGTTGGGGTTTTTTCGGTTGAGTTTTTTTTTTGTAAATAAAATTGGTACCAGCTAATTTGTTCTTCATTTTTAAATTAAGTGGAACCTTTTAAAGAGCAAGTATGACATAAGGATATTGGTAAAAAGTTAAGAGACCAATATTCAGGCTTTGCAGATGTTCCAAAATACTACTTGGGAAGAAGAGCAGTGTTTATTTGAGAAGAACAATTAAGAGACTTAAAATAATTAAAATGTGTATAACTCACCCTGTGATAATTTATATAAATTCCAAAGAACAACTGTGTAGTACAACAATTGTATAACTTGTAATACTACAAATGTGAACACTTGGAAGGGGTTAAAAACTAAAATTTTCTCCTTTTAAAAGCTGATATTACGTAAGAAATATAAGAATGCTAAGGATTTCTGTGTTCATAGAATAGTTTCTAAATAGCTCTGAATATCGTAGGATGCAAAATAACAGGGACTTGTATGTTATTACTGAAATCTTTTGCCCCATCCTTTACAAATCAAGTGCTTAAAGATGCAAATTAGAAAAAAAATGTCAGGGCACAGTTCTGCCAAAATATTTGCTCTGTAATAAAAAGTAACTAAAATGGACACTTAAAACTACAACACTCCCTTTTAACTTGAAGCATAGCCTGATTGCTTTTCCTTACTTAATTCCAAAACCTCCCCAGTAAGGTCTAAGTCTATATCCAAAACTCATTAAATCATATTGTGGGAGCTTATTCATACCTGGTCATACTTAATCTCAGATCCAGCACCATATTGTGTAACATACAGTTAGAAGATCAATGTTAATGTTAATTTAAAATAAAGTTTCAAATGATATTTTTAAGTGATGCTATACCCCACTTTACAGCAATGTCATGATATGAAAAACATGTTGGGTGATAATGTGTTAGAATGATGATACACTTAAAATGCCAAACAAGTAGAATTCTAGAAGAATAAGACATACAAGTAAACATTGGTTTATCATCTACAATATGATGGGGCAAAATGTATAAGATGTGCATTACCCCACTTAAGATGATGGGTAGATTAACTTCTGTGCAAATTGAATTATTATGTTTTAAAAATTGGAAATATAGCAGTAATAAAAGTACACACATTTTATTCAGTAAAGCAAGCTAACTGTAAGGTGTACCTTAAGAATGAATTTGTGTAGGTTTAATGGGTATCAGGTATTAAGAGCTGAGGTTATCCTTTAAAAACTGCCTTACAACACAATTATCCTTTGCTTGTCATTGAGCTCACAGCAGAGAAAGGTGCCCTTAACAAAGAATGGAGAAGGTCTCAGAGGCAGCTGTATCCAGAAAGGAAATCCTTGAACCAATGTAGTACTATCAGGCTGGCATAGTGATTAGCATTGCTGCCAAGCAGCAGTAAGACCCTAGGTTAAAGTCCCTCTGTGTGGAGTTTGCATGTTCTCCCCAAGTTCATGTGGGTTTCCTCAGGGTGCTCTGGGGTTTCATCCCACAGTCCAAAGACCTGCTAGCAGGTTATTTTTTTCATACAAAATGCTCCTGGTGTGAGATTGTGAGTGTTTTGTGTCTGTGTGTGCCCTTTGATGGACTGGCATACTTTCCAAGTTGTATCCTGCCTGCGCCCAGTGCTTCCCAAAATAAGTTCTGGGCCACCATAGCCCTGAATTGGATAAGCAGTTATTGTTTCCTGAATCTTTTATTTTCAGGCTTCTTTGCATGTCTTAAGCTATGAGGTATCAAAATGTTTTGACATTTCAGAGTACTGTAAAACTTGCATTAGCTAATGACCCTTAAGGCACATTTTTGGGGTAATAAATAATTGTACTTTTCATTTTAACAGTGCACATACAGTGCTAATGTATGTATCTAGTATATATGTAAAAATATATTTCATATCAAATTTTATGGATTTTTAATAAACTTAAAATCTGCTAATTTAGCTTAAGATGCAAACAAGAAAGGAAGTTATACTGTATCTTAGGATGCAACACATTTTCCTTTCCTAACAGTATGCTAATGATTTCTCTTACACATATCGTGAGGAACTTTTATATAAGTAACTACAATACCACCTTACTTACATTGTAAGGCACATATTACAGAAAGGTTTTTGACATTCATCGTACAGGTATGTGTATGTTTAAGATCAACTAGTAACTGAGATCCAAAGAAAAATTTTATGTTCATGGTTTCACTGTTTTCAAATTTTATGTTTCACTGAAGTGAAACATAACAACTTGAAATGTTGAGCATATAATAAGCTGTTTAAAGTGGCAGTTCCCATTCCGAGTCCTATGGACCTACATGCCTGCCAGTTTTCTTAACTTACTGTAATTGAACTTTTAACTGAGTTGCCTGATTGGAGCCTTTGAAATGGAATATCTGCTCAAACATTAGAGATGTTTACTTGCTTATTGAGACGTAGTAGA